TTCACACTTCAGAGAAGACACAGGGCTGATGGTGAAGACAAACAGATGTTTAGAAAGTTCTGACCATGGATGGAATGCAAACCGCAGAGTGAGCTGCAGCATCGCTTCAGGACCTTCATGAGAAAATTAATTTATTGGATCCACAGTCAAAGCCTCAGTTCCTAGTTCAAAGCTACCCCCTCTTGGGCTGTGGGGGCTCTGACTTATCCTGCTGAGAGCCAGACATAGACCAACAAAACCCAGGGTCCAACTCACCGCCATGACACAGGCAGTGAGCTCTCCTAGGACCAGCTGTCTATCTTCCAAGAAATATTCATGCATCATTTTTTGCCTCATTACAGGCTGTGCCAGGGGCCAACAATCGATCAAACAGAGAATGTAACAGGTACATTCCCTGCCTCATTAAGGCTACGCTAGAATGAAGAAGCGCAGACCCAACCCAGAAGCCTTTGAGATTCAGCAATGGTAGAAGAGGAGCCTGAGGACTGACAAGAGATATGGGGGCAGGAGAGGACATGGAAGGGTCTTAAATTCAGGGATCCTTCAGGTGACAACAATAGCTACATGCACATCATTAGACTTTTAAAATAAAATTTACAACTATCTTTTTCTACCCACAAGGAAGGAATTACCCCATTTTACTGATGATAAAACTGAAAGGGTCTTGAGGTTCCAATGAGGGAGTATAGAATAGTACAACCCTCACCCCAACCCCCTCTGTGCAATATGCATAGAGGGAGCAGAGGAACCCACTGTGGAGCTCCAGATGAGAAGGGGGGAAGGTCTGAGAAGGCAGGTGAGGGGTAGTGATGGCAGGATGCAGCTGCCCACAGGCTTTGGCACTGGAAATGAAAGAGAGACGGTGAATAGCCTGGCTGAGACCCCTTCCAGACAAGACTGCCTGGAAGATCTCTCTCTGCTGCAGATTGGGGACCCTATGGAGGGACATGAACATCTAACTTAACCCTAGCCCATTTTCTTCTTCTCAGAGGTTGACCTGGGTGGGGAAGTGGCCCGACTATCCTCTCCACCAGGCTGAAGACTCCAGGGACTCCTGGGACCTGGAGTCCTGAGGGACAGAGGGACACTGATGAGCTCAGGTCTGCAGCCTCTTCCAGAAGAACTCTCAGCAGCCACTAAACTCTCAGCCACTTCCTAAACATCAAAAGAGTTCTGGTTCTTAAATCCAGAGAGCAAACATTTTCTGAGTACCTACTGTGTACCTAGCATAGGCCAGTCTGGTTCTGGGGAGGAGTGTGGGCAAGGATGATGGGGATTTTGCTCTTAAGCTGTCTTCTTGGTGAACCCAGCAGCCACCCACCCCACCTCCACCGCACTGTCTGCCCAGCACCTGCCACCATCTCTAGGACTCTGGATTCTGCTTTTTCAATTTATTTTATAATCCCTTTGTCCAACCACAGGGTCAGTAAATAGCTGGTGAAAGAAATGGACATTGTACAGATAAAAAAAATCACACTTCTCGCACGCACACACACATATAACTATATAAATATTCCATGGTCAACATGGGTTCTCTGGAAATGGCATGAGACACAAAGGTGGCTCTCAGTGGCAGGGAGCAAGGACTTCCCTGTGGAAGGCATACTTCAGCTGAGTCCTACAGGGTGAGCCACGGTTAGGGTGAGGAGGAGCTAAGGACAAAAGAAAGTTTTCTGTAGAGACAGAAAAGATATAGATAGGAGGCTCTTACACAGGATAAACTCAGAGCTGGAGATCAGGGCAGAGATGGAAAGAACAGTATGGATGCAGCTCCCAGAATCCTCTGGGGCCCTATCATTTGGAATCATTCAAGTGACCATGAGTGCCCCAAAAAGGATTGAAGCAAAGAGCTGCCAATCAGATTCACATTTTCAAACAGATGTTTCTGCTGTGGGCCAGGGAGTGACTTGGAGGAGTCAGGTGTCATTTCTGCAAACCACTGAGGGGCAATCCTGTTTTTGTGTGGAGACAGCAGCAGCCTGTACTAAGCCAGGGTCAGCAGATGTGGACAACAGAAAAGACACAAGGGGATGCACTGGGTATTCCCAGGGTGCTCTGGGGCAGAGGTCAGCAAAGGGCTAAATGGTAAGTGTATGAGCTCTGAGGCTCATGTTGCTGAGATGGGCCTAGTACAGGTGCGGCTGGAGTCTGGGACTCAACCTCTAGGATGCATCCAATAAAGTAGCAATTTCATACGACAGGAACAAATCGTATCTGTGAGTATAACAGTCTCTGAGCACAGTGGTTCTTCTGTGAGTCCGTGAGTGTGTGGATGGTTGTGAGATCCCCAATCCAGAGGTGCACACAGTCTATCAATCATTCAGCTTGCCCTTTGCCACACCAATGCAGTGCTACAGGCCCCTCCAGTAATGATGTAAAACAGGCATAAGGGCTGGTGCTGAGCCAGAGACCAGGGTTTGCCAAGCTGTACTTGTGGAATCTACCTGGAAAATCACCAGCTGAATTCAGTCTTTTCATGCCATTGATAGAGAAACCGAGGCTTAGAAGGAAACCCAGGAAGACAGTGGAAACCTGAGATGCTCAGGGAGGAGCCGGATGGATTGTTAGGTCTTTGGTTCATCTGTGTTTTCCGACTGTTTATGTGCGGGTTCATCTGTGTTCTGAGAGTGTGTGTCCATCTGTGTGCATATGTGTATAATGTCTAGCTGTGTACAGAAGTGTGTGCACATGCATGTGCCTCTGTGTATACATATATGTGCACGTGTGCATCTATGTACAGGTGCATTTGTTTCCTCTGTATGCAAGTGTGTGCACTTGTATATCTGTGTGGTCATGTGTGTGCTCATGGGCATGTTTATCTGTATGCATGCACATTCATCTGTAAGTGTTTTTCTCCCTTTCTGTATCTGTATGTCTCTGTGTGTCTGTGTATGTATGTCTGTGCTTGTGTGTGTGTGTGTGTGTGTGTGTGTGTGTGTGTGACTGCCCCTCTAGAGCCTGCATCTTTAACAAGCTCCAGGCGCCTTGATGATTTCCAAGGTCTAGAGATCATGAAGGATGTCCCGAGGAGGACGAAGAGGATGATCAGAGGAGATGGGGGTGAACCTGGCTTGTATCGATACTGGACCTGTAGACCTAACAAGAGAGGATGGACCTGTGATGGATGTTTGTACCCATCACAGAGCCCCTTCCGTCAGAGTTGGAATTGGCCAGGCCAGCAGTCAGGATCCAGTTCCTTTCTTCCTGGGGATCCTTCCTGTGATTTGGTGGCCAGTAGCACTTGCAGGCATAACAAACTGGCAAATATGAGCACGTGCCCCACTCCTGGCCTCATCACTCATGGCCACAGACACCTCTGAGTTGCACTAAACAACCTGTGCTCTGCAAATCTTTCTATTCACACTGCCCAAAGAAAGGAAGCCAAAAGCCTCAGGCTTAAAATCTCTCAGAAGCATCAAGTTCTGACCGGAAGTGAGACACTAATTCTGTATGCTTCATTTGTGTTTGTTTCTATATAAAGTGGGCACTTCCTGATAGCCACAGCCAACTCCAAGCTCTGTATACTGGAATTACTGTGGACCTGTAATTCCCCCAGAGAGGTCTGGGCTATTGTCTTGGAAACTCCCTGAGGGCTCTGGCATGAGGTGGAGGTTGAGGGCTTGGCTTAGGAAGGGTCTCTGTTTAAAACACTCTCAGGCACTTTGCCATGAGCCCACTCAGAGGGGCTCAGGCATAGATACTTGTTACTCACGACCAGAATAATCCAAGCCTGACTAAAGGTGAGCCAATATCTTCAGAGGTGGGGTCAGGGATGGGTTTGGGTGTGAACTATTCTACAAAGAAAGCAAATCCCAGAAGGACTCACCTTCTCACCAAGACAAACCCATGGCAGGTCTATGGCATCAGGCAGGGAAAAAAAAATAAGTTTGTAATTTTAACCAGTTCCTGACTGGAATTTAGCATGTCCTCCGCTTGTGATCATGAATGCTATCAACAAACCACGGACCTGTCATCAAGGAAAGTGTAGATATGATGATGGTATGACCAGCTAAAATATCTGTGTCGAGGGCTGGAGGGACAGATGGCTTAGTGGTTAAGAGCATATACTGATCTCCCAGAGGACTGGAATTCAGTTCCCAGTGCCCGCATCAGGCACCAAATTCTAGCTCGAGGAGATCTGGACACCTGTGCCCTCGCCCACACATGTGGCCTATGTTTTCAACACACACACATAAACATCATTAAAACTAATTAATAAAAATTAAAAACAAATAAAAATACAATACCTACGATGAATGCTGCTTTAAAACCATAATAATGGTTCATCGTGTGATCCCCAAACCCAAAATATCCCTGATCCCAAAAGCCAAAATTTGAAACTTTCAAAATGTCGGCATATCACAAGTAGAAAAGCTCACAGCAAGAGATTATTGTTTCACATATAAAACAACTAAAAATAGACATATAAGAAATATATAAAACAAATATAGTCTAAAATCTGCCTTTTATCTTTCTAACTGGAATAATAGGTACATAAATCCTGTCACAGCCAATCATTGGTAGATGAATTAAAATAACTTTGGAGTCACAGAGTATGTCATATGTATAAAATAAATTTAAGAGACCTTAAAAAAAAAGAAATACATAAAAACAAATAAATTTCATGCTTACAATTGGGCACCATCTCCAAGACACTCATCACATACATGTGACGACTCAAAAATTCAGAAAAATCCCAAATCTGAAATGTTTGACTCCAAGCTTTCCAGGTAAGGGTGACTCGGCTTGCAGCCTCCAGGCCTGCGAGGGGTCATATGGTGGAGGCACTCACCAAGAAGTGTCCATGTCAGCAGGCCACCATAGTTACCGTTAAAGGTTCTCCAGCCGTATCTTAACACACTTGCTTTCTTACGTACTTAACAGATGCATTAATATTACTATCCTGAGGAGGCCAGGGGCTTCCACCCGCTCACGTGGGCCTGAGAACGTTGGCCTCAGGGGCTGGTGAGTGACACTGTGCTTTGGGCTGCAGCGCTCACCTGTGGATCAGAGAGCCGGGAGAGGTCAGGGTATAGGTAGAACTTGACGCCTTCAGAGGCTCCTGGCAATGTGACCCCTCGGATCAGGAGGATCAGCAGCATGATGTAGGGGAAGGTTGCAGTGACATACACGACCTGTTCGGGAGCAGAGAGACAAGAGTTAAGCAGGGGTGGGAGTGCTGGGCTTTCACTCAGCACAGATCCCTCTCCTTGCTCCTGCATGCTACAGACCATCCTCTATGAAGGCTGCTCTGAATTTGGTTAGATGCATGGACCATGCTCTCTGCATCCGTCTATGCAGCCCAGTCTCAGAAAGACGGTTGACTCCGAGCATCCTCGGGGTCTTGTTTCCACAGCTGCCAGTATCTATGGATGCTCAATGCCTCTCCCATCAAACGACAGAGCATTTGCAGAGAGCTCCTCTGTGTATAGCAAGGCATCTCTTGATGGCTGACAGCATCCAATACAACAGAAGCACCATGCAATCAGCACCTTGCATTATCTAGGGGACAATGACAAGGGAAAAAAGTCTACTCATTCAGCTCTGATGCAAACATCTATTCAATATTTCTGGGTTTCTTTGAATCCACAGATGTGGTTCCAATTGACTGCACTGACAGGAAGTACCGAAACTAGAGTCCTAGGCACCAAGAGTGGCATGATGATGCCTCCCTTGCTGTCTTTGTCATGTTGGGTGTGACATTCCTATCAATCAAGACAAACGTGAGCAGGAGATGCCTCTTCTACAGCCGTACACGGTCAGCAACAGTGTGTCCTGAATTCGAACATTATTGAGAGGGGACATTTCATGTTAAGATTCTTATTGTAACAAATGGAATTAGAAGAGGAATTAGTAGTGGGCCTCACCAGGAGCCAAGGGGAGAGGAGCCCTGTCTCCTTGTGGGGAGGAGATGAAATTTCTGGTGCATGCCAGGCATTCATGGTACACACACACACACAAATGCGTGCACACACGTGTGCATATGCACACATGTACCCGTTTGCCTCACTCTGCCTACTCCTCACAGGAGACTGACAATGGTGGGTGACAAACTCACAGAAAGAAATGGAAGTCACAACCCCATTCATGGAGCTCTGGAAAGGGAGCTTGCAATGTCACTTCTGTGTGGGACACTTGCTACTGTTGCCTATCAGACTCTGCTCCCTTTAAACTGTATTTGTTTACTGTGTGGGGGCTGTGTGCATGACATGGCACATTGTGGAGGTCAGAGGAAGACTTTCAGGAGTCGGAGCTCCCTGTGTGGGTCCCAAGGATCGAGCTAAGGTTGTCAGGCTGGGCCACGAGCACCTTTTCTAGCTGAGCTATCTTGCTGGTTCTCTATTTCATCTTTTTAAAAAAACCTGGTCAGAACTCTTTGAATCCGTTTCACAATTCATTACCAGTCTAAGACCTACCCTTTTGAAAAGAACTATTCTCAATAAAAATCAGTTTTTTTTTTTTCATAACCGAAGATAGGCTGGGACATGGGGGTGGGAAAGAAGATGGGAGGTACAGGGAGAGGGAGGGAGAGAAAGCTGAGGCAGGGGGTGAAGATCTAGCACTGGTTTGGAAGTCCCTGGGCCTGGTCTACTTGGAGGTTTGGCCCTTTCTCCTTTGTCATTTTCTCTTCTTCAATCACTTGCACTGTCCCTTGTTGGGACCTCCCCACTCCTGCTTTAGAAGGGAGCTTATCACCATTCAAGGGCCAGGGACCTTCTTAGATTTCAGCTTAGCTCTGCACAGCCTTCAGTGCAGGTGTAGGGCACAGGTGTAGGGCACAGGCCTGCTGATGGTTGGAACTTAGATAGCACAGGACAGAGTGTGCTCTGAGCAGGCTGCCTCACTCCTGTTCAAGCTGCGCCTCACATCATTCCTTCGTTCACTTTCTTACCTATGCACACACTCACAACACTAAAGCCATTCCTGTACAGTTAGTACTGAGCAATGCCTGGGTAAGGACGACTCATCCAATGGGCCTTTCTGCTCTAAGAAGCTTCCAACTGGATGAAACAGGCACAGAGACAGGTAATACAGTCAGTGGTAAGCACAGAGAGGCAGTTGCCTGTGACAAGAGCAGTGAGGGTGGACTTCTCCAAAGAGGTGACCCAGACATTGGATCCTAGAGGAGTAGGAGCTTAGGACATGGAAACTGGGGTTGGAGGGTGGGTGAGAAGAGGAAAATGAAATTTCTGCTGCATCCAGGCATGCATGGTACATACATACACAAATGCATGCAATGCATGTATGCACAAGCGCACACACATGCACAATGCAAATATATATACATACACATGCATGTCCCTGCACTCATGCATATATACATGTGCTCACACTCATGCCTACACAGACATGCACTTTACATGCAGACACATTGTACACACACACACACACACACACACACAGATGTGACAGTAGTGCTGGTTTTGCTCATCCCACACGTTGGTACACTGTGTGAGTGCTCTGGGTAGAAGAGTTATCCTCTTTCATATATGAAGAAGGACAGAGAACCTAGACCCCTGTCAAAAATCATCCAGCTAATGAATCATGGCCAGGTGAGGATTTATAGCAAGTCCCGCTTGCTCCCCAGGTCACCTATTTGAACATCCCACCACTCATGGCATCATGACAACATTCTTGAAAATACTCTATTAATTCCTCCATGTGAGAGAAGCCCTGTGATTTGGTTAACACAAAGCACAGGTTTAAACATAGTCCTCAAACAAGAGGACGTGAGGATCAGCAGGGGGTGGTGACAGCATCTTCTGGCCACACCTGAAAGGTTGAATCATTTTATACAGGTGCTAGCTCTGGTCTTCAATGATAGTGCTGCCTGCAGCTCACTCAGCCCCCAGACACCAATGCCCACATTGCAGCTGCCAAATGAACCATAGGGGTCCCTGGCATGTCACGTGACCAATGCATTCTCTTACTGTCATATACAATGCCACATATTGTAATCCAAAGAAAGAGTATGCAAGTCAGTTGCACAATTGGGTGGGCAGTCAAATACCAGTAAGAAAAAGGTCAGTTATTGGAGGTGGCTGGTTACTGGCCAGTGAGCTGACTGCCATAAAGATCTCCTCTTCCACTTAGTTTTATAGACATTGTCTATGATAGACATTCACCATTGCACAGTCTCTACGTAATATTCATTAGGGCTGGAGTGATGGCTCAATGGTTAAGAGCACTTTCATTTGCTGCCCTCCCAGATGACCCACATCTGGTTCCCAGTGCATACATCAGATGACCCCAGCCCCTAGGCATCTGACACCTCTGTCCTCTGAGGGCATCTGCATTCATGTGCATGTGCCCACTTGTGTACATTTGTACACACTTGATTCTTGGGGGACTATTCAGTCAGCTCAAATCTACAAGTCAGGCGGAGGATAATAGTCTAGTTGCATTCATTTAGAAACACACACATGCCTATCAGATGCAGTGGCCAGGAGCTGCTGTGTCCTGGGTCCCCCCATGTTTCTTTCCCAGCTTAGCTGTCTTGAGCCCTTGCTCGCACAGTTGAAAGATGAGAACATAAAGACAACTTACATTCATAGGAATTTATCCTCAGCCTGCAAGCCCACTTTGATGAGGCCAGATTTGCCAGTTTTCCTGTTATCTCTACTGAGTGGATGGGGGGTGGTCACTGGGGAGTCCTTCAGGGAACCACTTGAGACCTGACCAAGTATGCCCTCACTGTGCCCAGGCAGTGTGATGGCAGAATGAACCTCATCATTAACCAGATGATGGTTCTGAGGTAATGCCACACACTGAGCTCCCAGCAGGTGTCCTGCTTCTGTATTACATCAGGACAGCCATGTCCCCCGGCTGGTGTGCATACCTTCATGTTTACACTTTTAATAAAACCATAAAGGAAAGACAATGGGCAAATGAGTTGCCCATAGACCATAGAGTAGGCAAGTTAACTACCAGAATGAAACCACTGGCTGGCATGTGTTACTTAAGATTCACCCCTTAGCTGAATTGTAAGAGCATCAGTAGGGATGTAGAGGGTGGTTTGAGGCATCATTACATAATACCCACAAGGGGTGAGTGGCATCAACGTTGACAACATACTATCTCCCCAAATCCCTTGCGTTTCTACTGCACAAACACTCCAGGTTGTATTATCTTTGATTTTTTTTTCCTCATCTGAGAGCAGCTGTTGACTGTTGCCCTATAGATCTGGCTGTCAAGAGACTGCCCACAAATGACATCTGATGGAACCCACCTCTCTTGTGCTCTCATCAGATGCTGATAATCAATCCCAGCATTCTTTACAGCTGAGCCTGCCCTCGGCCTCAGAGCCCTCCATGCGTACTGTAAAACAATCTATCTGTCACCCTTGATCTACTCCGTATCTCACACATCTCATATTTCTAGTTTCCTGCAGGACCGTGGATGTGTAAGACCGAGGTCTAGTCCTTAAGAAAAGACTTGTGGACATATGTGTGCGAGCCCCTGGGGTTCCAATACTGCATAGCAGGGTCAAACAGGAAAAGAAGGCTGCTGGGACAAGAGATGGATCTGTAAAAGTGGTTTGGAGCTGGGCATCCCTGGGTGAGTGGGAGCAGCAGAGGCCAAGGATGCAGAATATAAGCACAGAAAATGCCTTCTGAACATCCAGAAGCTTCCAAGTGGTCACTAGGGTGATGGGAAGGCTGGCCTCTTTCCTCAGCTGTCCCCACACGCCATTTCAGTCAATTCCTGCTATTTGGCTCACTCACTGTATTCTGAGTTCACAGCAAGGGTCCCCTACTCTCTTTCTTCTGGGTCACTGTGACAGTCCTGCGCTATCCACACTTGCTGCCCAGGTTCAGAAACAAAGATCTGGCTCGTCTCTGTCCTGTGAGTCTCAGCCAGCAGACCATGCTTAAGGTGGGGTGCGGTGAAAGGGTCGAGCCTTGGTGGTGAGTGCTAGCATCTAATCCCGCTTCTTGCTGTGTGACCTGGCAGGTCTCCACCCATCCCCACCGCCAGTTCCTCACTTCTAGGGAGCATGCCAGGCTCCTCCAAGTCCCCTTGCCTTTTCCCAGCCTTCCTTTGTCCACAGACTCCATCGCCAGCTCACGGCCACCCACAGTGTTCACTCTCTGTGTGTCTGAGTCCCCACACAGCTGGCTGAACTTCCTCCGGG